GCCGGTTTACTTCAGCTAATGACACACCAAACAACACTGTTATGCTTTCTGGAATGCTAAGCTACCACACGACACATAACCTGGTGACATAAAGCAGCTGACTTCATCCAATGGGAAAGGATGTTGTGAGCAGTAAAGGTATATCCATTTCCATATGTGTGCATTAAAGCCCCGCAGCATACAATGTATTATTAATAGAAGCCAGGTTCAAGGTGGTTCTTAATCACATGCAAGTAGGTCATGTCAAATGCAAAGACAAATTCCAAAAGTCATCTGCTAAAGGCAAGAAGGCAGTTTTTATGGATCCATACGACGAATCAGTAAGCACTTTGTCCATCCATCTGCCACCGGGGGTCCTGGCTTCTCCTATTAGGCCTCTAGTTAGTCTGGCATTTAGACTGGCACGACAAGCATGGGAAAGTGCCAGAAAAAGCGGGTGTCATTTCAGGCCAATGCCAAACACCGCAGACAACCTCACCACGCATCAGCTGCCCCATCCAATCGCATCACTCTGGCCTGATTCGATTCCACCCCGACAGGATTCAATTACATTTCATTAATTTTGGCACACTTTGGACTCCGCAGACTTTGACTCAATCTTGGCCAATGCAATTTAAACCTAGATCTGATCACAATCTCTCCCAATGAAATTTTTAGGCCGCCTCATTTTTGACAATATGCCTCAAAATTTGGGAATCAGAACATATCCCAGAAAGTGCTAACTCAGAGGGGCACATTCGCTATCTATATATACTTGGCCGGCGAATCCCAGCAGAGAGCATTAGTCACTCCTATGATAATAATGTATAAGCCAAATGAAAATAGACTAAGGATTGGCAAAGGGTATAATTGAACACAGCGGTGCTTTTTCGATGCCAAAGCTCTATAGGCCAAATGCCTTCACTCCAATTTGGTAAGACGGAAAAGAAATACGGCCAAAACTGCCTTAACAAAATCAAGCAGCGTCAAATGAGTGTGAAAGTATTAGTTCTACAAGTTGGGTCATCTCTATGGTGGGAGTTGAATAGATTCTCTAGTTCAGGTGTCTCCAATCTGTAGCCCAGGAGCTACCAGTTGCTTGCCAAAGGATTGAGAATTTAACAAATACATTGAATACGTAGTTTAAATTAATACATTTTGAGCCACTCCAAATAAAAAAATATAGGGCTATACAGTATTATGGTGTATTTTACATTTGTTTTCTATTTTTTGTTGAACTTATTAGATAGATTTTTATTACGACTGCAGTAGCTCTTTGCCTTTTATTTAAGCGTAGCTCTCTTATTGAAAAAGGTTGGAGACCCCTGCTCTAGTTCTCATCAACTTACTTGTTCTTGTTTATTACAAGAAAAAGTCTATATTATTATTGTATTTGTCTTTCTATAGACCACGTGCCTGCTTACCAACACTATTCAATCCAATCAACAATCTAAATGTATTCTTCCTCTGACATTGACCAAGAATCCATGAAATCACTGGAAAAAAACTTGCCAAGAGCGATCCCTATTGACCTAAGATGATCCTGTAACTTTTCAAATGCACATTATTATTGACTCTGACGTATTTCCAATTCATTTGAAAGTATATGAAGAAGATAGGGCGAGAAATAACCTTGTTTGGCGATCATTTGATTCTGCGACAACACAGATGCGCCACAGTGGCATTGCTAGGTGTCTCCAGGTGTTCCAGACCATAACACCTATTCTCATCTTATAAAAATCCAATGGTGGGTTCTGAACTTGGCAGATTGGAAGCTAAAGGGCACGTTGGAGAAATCAAAAACTCGCAGGCAAATAAATAGCATATCCATAACAGTAAGATTGCCCTTTGTACAATTCGGAGGGCCTGCTGACTCTAGTCGTTCCTTAAATTGATTTCTCGTACGTGGCGGCCTCCGGGGAGCGATTGCATTTTCATATACACGTTGGTGCTGTATGTGCGGTGCGAGTCGAGCCCCCATCTCGTTCTATTAATCAAATAAGGCAATCAATTTCACCTTGCCGGACCGTAACACAGACCAGTGTTTTGTGAGAACAGCCGTGCATGTCGTTAATAAGTCTATGTGACCAGTGTTGCGTGGTGTGATTGCAGGATTAAGACCTTGGCAGAGTTGCAAAGAACACAGTCAAGTTCCAGGCAGTAAAATCACTAGACTTGTGTTTGATGGTGGAATGGGAGAGTGGGTGCTCTTGTTTTGGAACAATATTTGATTGTAATTAGTGAGGAGTGATAGCTAATGCATACATTGGGAGAGAGTTGTAAGGGAAGACCATCTAAACCAGGCATGTCCAATCTAAAGCCCAGGGGCCATGTGTAGCCCTCTGTCATTGTCTGTGGCCTTCTGATTTGCTAACCCAAATTTAGACATTAAAATCCTAAACATACGTTCCAACTTCTTCTCTGCTAATATAGACATGCTTTACCTCCTGTCAAGCTCTGAACCTATTCAATTCTGTAATTGACTTTGAGTTTGTGATCATGGCACAAAAATGCATTCGTGAATCTCATGTAGTAACTAATTATCATGTTTTGTATTCAGCCAACTTCAGCTCGCTCCAGCAGATATAAATCATTGTGGACATACCTCATCTAAAGCTCAGAACCCTGAATCCAGTCAAAACATTTTTAACCAGGGTCATCGGCCCCTGGACAAGTCTGGTGAACTACTGCAGCCCTCTCACTAAAACGTCTGGACACCCCTGATCTAAATCTTTCAGCTTTTCAGATCATTTAATGCAGAACAGGCAACACACAAAGACATATTGAGAGCAAAATAAACAGAAAAATACATTTCAAAAGTATTGTAAACAAGGTAATTTATTGTTAAGGTTTGTGATGTTGTGTTTATCAAACTGAGCTCATAATAAATGTCCATGCAATAGAAGCCTTTACTTCATCAAAAAAAATAGTTGTTCTTTGATAAGACAACACAGATTTTTTTTCATATCCAAAATAAAGAAACAATTATTCTGATACTGATTTGGCTAAACTCTGACTGGCAAACAGTGAATCCCAACTTGCCAAACTTTACAAAACATTTTCTCATCCCTTCCTACCCTGCTCACTAACAGTTGCTAAGATAAAGAGAGAAAGAAACACTGCTTTGCTTTATGGTCCAACAACTCAAGAAAGGCCCACACCATCCATCAGGCCCGTAACCATATGCAAAGTTAAATCCAACGCAAACAGAGCCTAAATGAAGGATGTTAGCGTACAACTCCACCACATGCTCTTGCCACGACTCAAGGTGCACTGCAATACACTTTGGCACAGTGGCATAAATCTCTGAAACCCTAAGTCAGTGACATTTCCCCCTCGAGATGCACTGAAATATCTTAATTACGCCACTTAACATCACCTAGGAAAGTCCCGGGCGAGTCCCTGCAAGCATATAATTCATTGTACAATAACATAAAAAGCCAGGCATGGGGTGACCTGGGACTTAGAAAGTAAATGTTGTTCTTTAAAAGGCAGCGGGGTGAAATATGTGGGCTTAATGTTGCCACAAGCACCAGTTGCTTCATATTAAACGCTATTTTAGCATTCGCATTTACATGGCTATCAGAAAAACGCATGGTTAGAATGGGAAAGGCTTGGGTGATATGATGTAATAGCCCTGCAACCCAGGAAGAACAAATCACTATCTGTGTTTAAGGGTTTTCATGCATTATTAAATAGCAAAAAAGAATTCAGCACTAGGCAAAAGGGACAGCTCCTAGTTCTGATTAAGCTGCCTCAAAATATGACTTGAAGGATTTCTTCCCTTCTTGAATGATTGTGTCATTGTGATATTAATAAGCCATAGTAACTGTTGAAAATCTATTGCATTTTCATAATTTTTCAGCTTAAATCTTTAGAATATGGGTTAAACTGTAAAAATGAACAGTTGTATTATGGGAGATGTAACTAAGTACATATTATTCAACAATTTAGCAATCTTTCCAAAGGTTCTGTGTGAAAATGAGGTTTTAGGGGTCATCACAATAGTATCTATTTGAAAGTAAAATCATAGATCCACTGTCAAATTCAGTGATACAACCCTATCACGTATCGGTGACATCTGCCATCTCTCTATTCAAACCACATTTGGCTTTTCACTCCAGCCACAGTCATATATTATACATTTGTGGCGACAGAGACTCCTTATTAAAATTCATGGACATTTTTTAACACCCTACTATCTCTCTTTCTGCCTCTCCAACTACTGCGTGGAATAGCCAAGTTGAGATGTGCCTCAGCGCGCCATCTCGGCCCCACTGCTGTATCCACTGAGCAGTGCGCACGGGACACTGTACCGTCTCCGTGTATGAGGAGAAGCAGCTTTCCCAGCGGTGATGGCTCAAACACAGCGCCACTTTGCAGCGCTCTACCCCCACCTGCCGTCGCGCCAGCAAGTGTCTATGGTCAGTGCGCGTACTGCTTCATGTCTACAACGATAAAGAATCAACCGCTTCTTTGTATTTGGCTTTAAACAAAAAAAATGGATGGTGCGTAAAATCTCATCTCAAACAAATGGCGCACGCACACGGCACAATGAAAGCAGGTCCATGACAAGCTTCCACTTCACACCCACGTTGCTCGCAGAGTCCACGCACCAGTCACGCGTAAAGTCAGGTGTGGAGGTGCATTTATTCACATGCCAAGGTTCCACATGGGCGCAATGGCCACTGAGCCACTGTTTAACTTTAAACGGCGCTGCTGGACAGACACAGGTTTAGAGTACAAGTGTATGGAGGAGTCATCATATATAATCTATAGATAGACTAAAGAATGGAAGCAAGCGGTTGAGCAAGATCCTGGATGAAGAAGTGCAGCCAACACAGACAAAATCCCCTCGCTTTTCAGTAAAAGAAAGCATGGTAGCCCTTCGCAAGACGTGCCTAAACTACAAAACAACGTCCACTTTAAACAATCCGCCCCTCTCTCTCCAAAACACACACTGACGCACGCACGCACGCACACACTGCTACTGTCCTCTCGCCTCCTCTGCTGCGGACTAGTCACCGATAGCCCCCGGGATCCACTACAACAACTTGTCCACAAAGTAAGCCCAGAGCCGCGGCAGAGGCTTGCTCGTACCTTGGCCGCTGCAGATGAGCACTCCGAGGAGCTGAAGGAGTTGGAGGAGCGTTTTCATGGCCGGAGATGTGAAGAGTGATAAGGATAAAGACTGTTTCACGCAGCAGTAAAAACGACAAGGCTCCCGCGCATCCGTCGTCTTGGGCTTCGCTGGCGACTGGACTGATGAGCTGCTCGCACTTGGGATCGTGTGTGCGCCTTCCTCTCTCCTCTTTCCTTCCGAAAGGCGCGCGCACGCCGCCCCCAGCGCTCCCCTGTTTGCGCGTTCACATTGCTATGTGGAGAGGACCCCTCCTCCTCACAAACTGGAGAGTTAAATGAACACACTTATAAAATATCAATTTTTTTCACTGCCAAGACATCATTCCAGCCAGATATTTGTCCTCAACGGTCAGGGTGCTTACCCTCCTCTACACCAGTGTTTTTCAACCTTTTTTGAGCCAAGGCACACTTTTTCACTGAAAAAAATCTTGCGGCACACCTCCAGGAGAAAATGTAAAAATGTATACAGTACTAATGTAAAAATATATACTGTACATACTCTGTGTGATATATAAAGTATATCTTATCTTATCTTATAATGTATACAGTATACTCTGTAGCCTATATTCACAATATACAGTTATTCTCATCAAAATGCTTAAGTCCAGGCCTTGACATTAAGCTTTATTTAATATTTCTCGATACAATTAACAAGAGTTTGGGAATAAAGTGGCACTAACTGTGTGGAAAAAAATAAAATAAAAATAAAAGAAAATCCACTCTCTGCCCAAATAGTCAAATAATAACTCACACAAAGAACATGCATTGTTAGTGCATGGAAAAAATTTAGGTATCCGAGCTTTCAATCAATCAATCAATCAAAGTTTATTTATTTTGAGTAAATATGTGTACAGAAAAACAAAAGTAGAATATCAAAGTTGTGTATAAATAACCCTGAGCTATATCTACATTATACAAAATTATGAATATTATATACACAAAAGAAACACTTACAGATACTCGAAAAGGAGTGGGAAGAAGAAAACTTATTTAATCCCACCCCTGGTGCCTTAAAGAAAAAAACAAAACAAAACATTATTCATTGAGCTTCCCATTTGCTCAAGTACAAAAACAAATCAAATGGCACATTTGAATCAACTGTTCAGGTTTTTTAAGTAGCAATTAATGGGTTTAAGGACATATACACACAAGATACGTATTACAAGGATGCAAAACAAATGCATAAGGAAAATACCAGCAATGGTAAAGACAGTAAATATCAATATGGTACATAGGGACAGCAAATACCAACAATGGTAAGGAACAGAAAATACCAACAATGGTAAGGAACAGAAAATACCAACAATGGTAAGGAACAGACGATACCAACAATGGTAAGGAACAGACAATACCAACAATGGTAAGGATACAGCAATGATAAAGAAACAACAACAGGGGCAATTAAAAACATACAAGAAACATACATACATGGCAACATGAAGATATATTCAAGGCATATTCCCTCTATAGTCAGACCAAACATTGTTTTTGTACATTGATTTAAATCTATGAATGTCTTGGCATTGTTTTAGTTGGAGATCAAGAACATTCCACAATTTCACGCCACATACAGTCACACAGAAACTTTTACGAGTCGATCGGAATTTTGGAAGTTTGAAGTTTCCAAGACCTCTTAGATTATATGTTTTTTCATTAAGAATAAAGTATTGTTGTATTTTACATGGTAGCAATTTGTTAAATGCTTTAAATAGCACAATTGATGTGTAGAGCTTAACAAGGTCTGGAAACTTCAATAATTTAGATTGGGTAAAAAGTTCATGAGTGTGTTGTAGGTAGCTTGCTTTGTGAATGATTCGCACAGCTCGTTTTTGCAATAATAATAAAGGTTTTATTGTACAATGGTAATTGTTCCCCCACACTTCGACACAGTATGTCAGATAGGGTAGAACCAATGAACAATATAACGAGCGTAGTGTGTGAGTATCAAGGTAGTGTTTAGCCTTATTTATAATTGAGAGATTTTTTGCTATTTTGGTCTTTATATGACTTATATGAGCTTTCCATGATAAGCTGTTGTCCATAACTACCCCTAGGAATTTGTTTTCAGTAACATTTTCAATTTCGGCTCCATCAATGAAAATTTTTAAATTTGGACATGCTTTCGTGTAACCAAATGTCATTACTTTTGTTTTATTTACGTTTAATGACAATTTATTTGTGTCCATCCATTTTTTAAGTTTATTTAGCTCAATATTTACAGTGTTGATTAATTCTGATGAGTCCGAACTACTGTAGAAAATGTTAGTGTCATCTGCAAAAAGAATTAGTTTTAAAGACTTTGACACATTGAAAATATCATTAATATACAGGTTAAACAACATAGGTCCCAACACTGACCCCTGGGGGACACCACACGCAATGCCAAGACTTTCAGAGACATAATTTTCCATTTGAACAAACTGTGCTCTTTCTGTGAGATAATCTTTTAGCCAGTTCCCCGCTACACCCCTGACACCATATTTCTGAAGCTTTACCAACAATATTGAGTGGTTAATGGTATCGAAAGCTTTTCTCAGGTCTATAAAAATTCCATCCATCCATCCATTTTCTACCCTTTAATCCATTTCTGGGTCAGGGGGGTGGCAGTCAGAGATGCCACCCAAGTCTCATAGCACCAGCCCCTCACTGACCCTCTGCAGGTGGTGAGTCCACAGGAGGACGGCTGCTCTCTGAGTGTGAGCATAGCCTTGATCTTTCAGTGGGGGCTTTGGGCAAAGTGGGGTTAAGTGTCTTGCCCAAGGACACAACGACAGCAGTCATCAGTGGGAGTCGGTGGAGAAGGTGCAGAGGTGGGAATTGAACCCACAACCTTCTGGGCTTAAGGCCAATGCTCTACCAACTGAGCTACTGTCGCCCTATAAAAATTCCACTTGCATGTAATTGCCTCAGTTAAGGCCATGCTGGTGGTTCTTTTCGCTCTGAATCCATATTGACTCTCATTTAACAGCCCATATTTTTCAACAAACTTTTCCAACCGAGCAGCAAATATTTTTTCTAAAACTTTTGAGAACTGTGGCAGCAGGGAAATTGGTCTGTAGTTTGTAAAGCTATGGCTGTTCCCACTCTTAAATACTGGTATAACTTTAGCAACTTTCATTTTGTTCGGAAAACAACCAGACTGGAAGGATAGATTACAAATGTACGTCAGAGGTTTAACAATATTATGGATGACTAATTTTACAAGTGCCATGTCGATATCGTCACAGTCTGTAGAAAGTTTACTTTTAAATTTGAGTACTGTTTCTTTTACTTCTTGTTCGTCGGTTGCTGTGATAAAAATTGAGTACGGATTTGTTTCGATTACATCACTGCTTGGTGGGGAACTCTGAACAGGGATTTCATTTGACAATTGAGGACCAACATTTACAAAGAAACAATTAAAACCATTTACTATTTTGTTCATGTCATGATTGTCACCACTTATATCTTCAAAGTAATTAGGATACACTTTTTTAGATGATCCTTGTTTTATTACACTATTTAGTATGCCCCAAGTTTTTTTAATATTATGTTTATTTTCTTCTAGAATTCTTGTATAATATAATTGCTTACTAGACCGAATTATATTTGTTAGTTTATTTTTATAGGTCTTGTACCTTTGTTCAGCGTCTTCAATTTTTTTTGTATTTGATTGACTAGTCTTTAGCTTGATGAAGATTCTATAAAGATTCTGTTTCTTTTTACAACTGTTCAGGATTCCCCTCGTAAGCCATGGACTGTTTATTATGCTTTTGGTCTTACGATATAGTTTAATAGGACAGTGCTTATTATAAAGACAAACAAATGTTTCGATAAAGTTATCATAGGCAATATTTACATCGGACTGATTAAAAACAGAGTTCCAATCCTGTCCTTTTAAACTATTATTGAAGGCAATGAGATTTGCTTCAGATCTTTCCCTTTTGTATATCATCTTTTTATCAGGTTTGTTCTTGCTTTTTAAATCACAGTCATGTATGCTAAAGACTGGCAGATGGTCAGAAATGTCACATATAAACAGTCCACTCGTGATAGGTTTTTCCATTATATTAGTAAAAATGTTATCAATTAATGTGGCACTGTGCACTGTAAGTCTACAGGAGTTTTGGATGAGGGACACGGGAGGTCCTGAACGCGAGTCCATGGTTCTGTCCGGTCCGCATGTCTGTGGTTCTGTCCACTCGACTATGGTCTGCGCTCGGTACCCAGTTCAGAAGTGCGTTCACGAGAGCTGTTGTACAAAAATTGTACATTTCATAGTTAAACCACTACAACGCGGCCACAGCTGCCCCGGGGCAGAGCGGAGGATGTTAATCCTGTTCAGAAACGGCATAATTCATTTTCAAAAACGTCTCTATCACTTTCACTTCTCACTCGCCACAAAGCTCTTGTCTCGCTCCCTCCCACATTTGTTGGTCGCATCCAATTTTACCTTTCTCGCCACAATGCTGACCTGAAACTGAAAAAATGGATGCGACCACTGGCTGTCAGTGGTCGCATCCAATTTTTCAGTTTCAAAGTACTTAGCTATCTGCTGCCATCTACTGATTTGAAAAAGTATTACATGGTTACTCCACAGTTCAAAACAAGTCACCGCTCGTCAACAGCGAATGCAGTTATTTTTAGACAAAGTAGACGAATTTCTCACGGCACACCAGACAATATCATACGGCACACTAGTGTGCCGCGGCACAGTGGTTGAAAAACACTGCTCTACACTATTGTGCATCATTTATTTTCTGTAAGTGTCAAAGACCAAATTGTCATGAAGTCAAATAAATAAATAACTTTGCAATAACCACTACTTACATCAACACTGCAAATGTTTATAAATATGTTAAAAGAGCAATTTTAGATGAACAGAGATTTTATGGAAAATTACAGGCCAGATTTTGTCCTGTTATTTGTCACATGACAGTTTTAAAACGTATTCATAAATTGTATTCCAATTTGTGCTGTCCGCAGGATGTTACAAGTTGCAATCAACCAGATATACATAGATGGAGAACGCTAATCTACTATCTCCATGAAACCCATTATGGAAGTGAAAAGTAAACTCTTCTAGCTCAGCAACAGTTTTTGTCTCACTCACCTGCACTTTAAATGTATATGGATTTGTAAAATCAGTGATCCTGGTGTTTACATTGTGATATTGTCTTTGAATGAGCCCTAACAACTGACCAATCAGAGTCTAGTAGAAAAGTATAGCTACCAATAACATTTCCATACATTTGGCTCCACATAATAATAATAATGACAAACCCCAAATATTATGTAAGCTCTCCCAGTCAACAGCCTTTGACTTAAACCATAATTCCAGTTAATAAAACTCACCAAGGCCATTTGCTTTCCCATGACGGACGACATCGTCAGTGCGCGGTTCATAAAGTGTCAGTCCTGCGCCCTAATAGTGCTGTAGTGACATGTCTAATTGGCTGTGTATCATTTTATTTGTCTACAGTGGTGTCTGTTCGTATTTGTTTTTAATGCTCGGATGATGCACTGGCGCCAATGGATATTGTTATTGTTTTATCACCCAGGTTTAATTGGACATCTCCCTGGCACTGGCACTGCTTTATTCTGGTGACTGGACTGGAAAAATGGCTATTAAAATGACGCAAATAGAGGCAGGCAGGGTGAGAACACATTAGCGGCGTGTTGCCGTTTGGGATTCTGAAACCAAAACTAAAACGGTATCAAAACTATAATTTGTGGTGACGTGACGGGTCCTTAATAAGGTGGACGCTGTCAGGAGAGTGTCAATCTCAGAAGGACCCCTATGGCTTCAATTTCTGAATAATGGTGTTAACTGTGTCTAATCTGCCTTAAACAGCTTTCTGGAATGGGACTGGTGTCTTTGAAGGGTCGGCATTGGCTTTACTCAAGGGGAACATGTTATAACAAAATACATTTGCTTCATCTTTATCCATTCCAAATCAAATCTTCATTCTCCATGTTTTTCAATCCACTTTCTAAACTATAACTCCAGTAAGGGATTTTCATTTGTTTAGGGTTAGAGTAAAGTTATGGTTGGGACTAGGGTTAGGGTTAGGGTTTAGAATAAGGTAATAGTTTGGGCTTCGAGTAGGGGTGTTAGAAAATATTCTCATCTTTTTACCGCATTATATAATCCTGCAATTCTCAAATAAATTCTAAAATTGAAATTAAGATGGATTGAAAGATCAAGAAATGGCCAAGTGAAGTGTAACACAAAATGTTTTTACGGTTTGTTTTTATGTTTATTTGCAATCATCAAAATAGATATATCAAACAATATCCATCCATCTATACATTTTCTTCCACTTCATCCATTGCCGGGTCACGGGGGCAACAGTCTAAGCCAGTGGTTCCCAAAGTGGGAGGCGCAGAGCAATTGCATGGGGGTTGCAGGATGAATGAATGAACAAAAATACAGGCTAAATGACACTGCTAGCATAAGATGGCCACATGTTTGATACATTGAAATCTGCAGTTGAGTCTGAGATTTTTTTTTAAATTACAATGTGTGAAATAAACTACAATGGACTAAACAAAAAAAAAGTGTAAATCTCGGGGCGTTTCCAGACCAGCTGAGAGACATTGTCCTTTCAGTGGGTCCTGGGTCTCCTACCGGGGAAAACAATAGACCAGATAAGAGCCATTGGTCCCTAGGGCAGCGGGGTAACCAATGACCATAAATATCCTGGATCATTACTGTCCGTAGACCGTGCTGCATCGGGAAAAAAACCTCAAAACCCAACACAGAAATCTGATAAATAAATTTAACAACAAATAGCTAGCGGTACATGAGTGACAAGAGGGTACACATCTATACACGTCACACCAAAAAACAAGAACAACCTAACAAAACATACATTCTTCACCACATCACGTTTTGAAATGTTATGAAGCCAGGTTTTGTCCATTATACAGAGGAGCTACCATGCGGAGGTGGAAGAAACCTTGTCATTTTGAGGCAACCAACCCACAAGCCACACGCTTTTCAAACGTCAGTGTAAAGAAAAAGGCTTGACATAATGACTTATATGTATGAACGGTACAGGCTAAAGTTGTTGTCAATGATTACATTAGTCAGAGTTGTAATGTATACGTTGACACGTCATTATGAATTAATTTCAGATGCGAGCGGGGAGAGTGTGTCAACGTGTCACTCCCACTTGACACAGAAATAATCAACATATCATTTGCCTATTAGAGTAAGACAATTTTCCACTTACATTGGATGACTCATAAGTTAACATCCATGTAGACCATTTAAAGACCATATAACAGTTGCAGAACCTTGCGTAATACATGCTGCTTTGAGCTGGAAATGGTTCAGTCAAGAGGCCTCAGGAGGAAGTGTGAGTTGACTGCCAGCGACGACTCAAAAGGCGGATGACACGTGGCTGTCGGGAAAGGGGTGTGTTTGACATGGCGGTGTCTGTTTTTGAAAAGACTAGCAAGTAATGTCTCGAGCAGGAAAGATTAAGACGCAGTGAAATATTTGTGGCTGTCTGGGGAATAATGATGACTTTCACTTTAAAACAAAAACGAGATATGGTTCTATTATACAAAAAACATCTTCCTTTCCATTTTTCCAATCTAGCAGAGCACAGCATGATTATATATCTGGAGATCTAAGTTTTAACCATACAAGTATAACCCAACCTTTTCATTGAATTGGGCACACTACCTCAGCAGGAAGGTCCTTGTTTGATTAATATTAAATAAGTGGTTAAAGAAATGTCCAATACTGTGCATAACTGTCTCCATTCAAATAAATAGTGGTGTGTAGAGTTTGTTTCCCAAAAAAATTCCTACGCAGACACAGGCAGAACATGCAAACTCCACTCTAAAAGGCCCCGTCTATAGGTGGCTTAGTAATGTCCTTTCTCTGGGACAAATACAGGATCTCTTAATTATAAACTATTTAATGCAATTCCAAAATCACCTCAAGGCCTAAATAATAAGGCCTTTTCTGACAATTAGAAGGATGCTCTAAACATACAGCAGAAATACCCCTTCTATGAGAAAAACTGACTTTCCATTATTGAAATGATACTTGTTGGATGTTGAGGCAAAACTGAAACAACAACCAACAAGCAACAGCAATAAAAAATGTGTAGCTCAGCAACAAAGAGAGAGAACACTTTGGACATGATATTTGAAAATCTGGATTATTATGATTAATGTGGTGCGCAGGGCATTCCACGCAAATGCCACAGCGCATGGTGGCTTGATTTCGACAAATTGCAGGTGCCCTAGCTTGTTTGTATATGGTAAATGGCTGGTAGGAATGTGGACAGGGGGAATTACGGATCTGTCGGGCTGAGAGGAGAATCCAGATGGTGTACAGCCTTGGAGCAAGTTCAAACGAGCTTAACAAGAAGCCATCACCGAATTTGATCAAGTAAGCAGTTATGAAAATGGTGGGAGCCCGTTTGAAATAGTCGCAAGCTGTTATCCGATAGTGTGGCATTGCGAGACAGCTGCAAATAAAGAGTAAGAGAGTCCTTGGAGGAGGCGATAAACTGTATGAGAGAGTCCATCTTCATTGAATAGAACTATACACACCACGGATAAAGTAAATAAAAGCCACTCCTTGACTCAGCACAGAAGGAATATAGAAGAATTACACCAGGCGGCTATGAGGTAGAGATGAAAAATTATATTGTTAGCATAGAAAAAAAAACGCAGAAAATACCCATACTTTAGGTGAAAAGGAAAATGCCACAGTCACGGACGCAAACTCCAGGGATCATGGCACCGATACCCTTTAGAGTTCATGGATAGTTTAAAAAAGAAAAGAAAAGAAAAGAAAAACCCTTTTGAATTCATATAGTAGTAAAAAAAGAAAAGAAAAGAATAACCTATTCGAGTTCATGGAGTAGTTTTAGAAAAAGAAAAAACCCTTTTGAGTTCATAGAGTATTTTTTTTCCTAAGATGTAGGAGCACTAATAGCACAAATAGGTTTTTGTTTAACTCCTAGTTTTTTAATTATAGGCTTTTACCAAATAGTTAAGATGCAGTTTGATGTAAAAGTGCCTAAAACCAAGTAGATATCGTGATCCACCAAATGGTTGAGGAAAGAAAATAAGGTTTTGGATTGCGCAAGTAAAAGTCATTACTTTCCAAACATCATTTGTGTTTAAATAGTCAAACAAATATGAAAACGTCAACACTCAAATCTCCCAAACTTAGGAAAATTAAAGAGTCATTTTGTCATTTATAAGCCATACAGAACCCCAAAAAGGAATCACGACTGCAATACAAAAAATATTCAAACAATTTGCGAACCACTTGAAGATTCAGGTAATTTCTCAAATTCCCCCTGCGCACAAGCCACCATTTTTATTCTATATCGCCAGTGTTCCTGCAGAATAGTTTCAAAAGAACAAAGCATGTGAGTGGAGAGTTATTTTTTATGTGAAAGAAAGCTTTTCATTTCATTAGCTGTTCTTTTTTTACGATGAGGCTCACTTAAAGTCATCAAACGTCCATTACAAACGTCCATTACGAAGCCCTCTCCATGGTGTCCCATTGATCGGGAGAGCTGCAGATAAACCGCAGTTACCAGTACATTGCTGCTATTACCGCGAGCGCTGGCTGATGTCTAGTTTCTGACAGATCGTTTGGTCCAAGATAAGAGCTGGCTGCACTTTGCTTACAGAAGGCGGCAATAAAAGGAGCCAAGAATCTAAACTAAAGTAACGAAAGACTGCAGGCATTTGTGGCAGTGGCGTTCAGTTGTTTGCTAAATGTCGCAATAAAATTAAAAGAGTTTGTTTTTTGTTTTGTTTTTTTAGAATGAGAACATATAGAGACAAGGAAAAAAATTGCAGAGCCGGTATCTAAGTGTATTTGTATGCTACATGTCACAAGGTCCTCACTTATCACTCTCAACACTATTAAAACTGACAAATATGTATCTATCCATGGCAAGAAAGTCTATATTTATGAATCTGTCCGCACATATGTAAAGTGTGATGCACGGATTATGGCAATTGAAGACTTCATCATACAGGAAATCATAAATAAATACGTGAAAGGCAGGAAAATAAGCTGAAAATGAATAATCAAATAAAAAGTGATTGATATGTAAAATATTGTTGCAAGGGTCTTATGGGGCGACACGGTGGCTGAGTGAGTACTGTAGCAAGATGGTCCTGGGTGCAAATCCTGGTCGGAACAGGGCCAACAGTGGAGTTTGCATGTTCTCCCTGTGTCAGTGTAGGTTTGTTCCGGGTGCTCAGGAGTCCCATACCATTAAAAACATGCACAATAGGTCTGAATGTAATGAATGTTTGAGTGAATGGATGGTGTTGGGTCAGAGGCTTTGATGGACCAGTGTGTGCGACGTCTAGCTTCTGTCATCACCGTGTGG